CATCTCTACTGGAACAATTCCCTACATTGCTTGCCTTCGGCATGAGACTCAACTAGCATAACTGATACCCACCTGTTTTCTGCTCTAGGCAGTGTTGAGGGTTGGGCCAAGGAAAGAGGCAACAGCTTCCAGTGTAGAAGGGAGCTTGAAATCTGGGTAGCCAAGGACAGGTTGTTGATACAAACTCCTGCTCGCTGTTGCAGGAATCTTCAAATGCTGGCATCCAACTCCCTGTGATGCTCCATGAAGTATCATATCATAGCTCATACACCCTTTCACTACCACTCCTGCAGCATTCTCTGATTTTTGCAGCAAGTCATGGAGTGAGGCAACCGTGCACAATCTTTCTGTGACAATTAGCTAGACCAGAGAAATTATGTAGTTCCCTCTCTGGCTTAAGACAGGCCCACTCCTCTACTGCTGAACTTTATCATCCAGTGTAATGCCTTCCTTGGTAATATGCCACAGATACTATGTCTGGAAAGGTAGGCACTTCTCTGGTTTGCCTCTCAAGCTTAACTACAACAAGCAGGCTAGGACTAGATCTAGTCTTGCGAAAGTCTCCTCAAAATGTCAAACCAAAAAGATGAGTATGTCGTCCAGGTACACCAGGAGGCACTGAAAATTAAGGTTGCCAGAAACTTTATCTATCACATGCATAAAGGTGGTAAGAGCATTAAAGATGGGCATGCTTGTGTACCTGTGCTTGCTTGACAAGTTGGCATTCCAATGTTTTGTTCAGCAATGCTAGCTGGTTACACTTACTGGCCAAATTGAGAGTGCAGAAATATTTTGATGCTTGAGGACTAGCAATGTTTTCGCAATCCTGGGTAGAAGGTAAGCATCCTTTATGAGTCTGTGCATTGATTGCCCAGTAACAAGCACAGATCCACAGTTTTCCATGTCTCTTCCTCATGACAACAATGGGGGTGACACACAAATTTGATTTTCAGAAGACTTGTACAGAGAGTCCCAGACTTCATTCCAGTGAAGGATGGAATCTTGCAGCAAGGAATCTTTATTAGACAGTCATCTTTAGTCACAATCCTATGGCTTATTATTCCATAATACTCAATGACATCATCTTAACTAAAAATTGTTTAGTTACTGGTGAGAGTAAAAACAAGCTGCCTCATTTGGGTCTCCTCCAATCAAATGTTTATCTTGAAATGAGGCTTGAAAGGACTTTCTGTCAGGCCACCATCCACAACAGTGGCAGGTTTAAGGACACAAGGTTCTGGACAGAGATGAACACCTCTGTAACTGAAATTGGCAAAGTGCATGGGAATACTACCTTTTCTCCCACTGTGAAGAGGGCAACTCCCAGAGTTACATGAAGTGGGAGCTCAGCTACATGTGCCACTTAATGAAAGAAAATTCCTGCAAACTTTTATATAGGTAAAGCAAGAAAATAGAGGCCTTTGAAATGTGAATGTTAAGACATGCTAAAACCTTGTATATTATTCAGAAGACAAATGGAGATGTTTGAAACAGAGCAAAAAGAACTAAAAAGTGACAGTGTGATGAAAGGTTTAGAATCAACACTATTTCTGGAATTTGCATTTCAAAGTAAAAGCACTTGTTTCTGTTGCTTTTCTGGGAAGGTTTGTTTTTAAAAAGACAGAGTCCTACCCAAACAGTGATCTAAAATCCATTGCTCATCAGAAAGCAGGGAACTGCAGAACTTAATGGAAGGATGTTTACACTGTTAGAATTACAACATAAGTAGGGTAAACATTTAAGACTGTTAACTTGGTTTTAGCAAGTTTTTCTTTAAATTCAGTTTAGAAAACATCAATAGCTGAGTTCAGAAGCAAATTTAGTTTCTCACTACAGACGAGTTCAGGATAGTTCAGGAAGCCAGTTACTTCAGCAGAAACAAGTGTATAAAGCTTCCACACCAGGAATGTTTCGTTAGGAATCTGCAGGCTATTAAAGTCAAGAAAGTTCAGATTTGTAAAAACATTACTGTCAGCATTATAGGAATGGACTCATCAAATTACTCCACAGTATTCAGCAAAGAAACCAAAAGGAGTCATTTAAGCTAAAGCCTAAAGAGTTGAGATAGGGATGTAATCTCTCTGGACTCAATAATGTATGTAATAATTAGCATCAGGAAACATGTTGAAAAATTGTTTTGTTGTGTACTTCGAGATCTTCCACATTTATATTGTTTTTAGAACATGCTCTTATAGAAAGTCTGCAGGCTTGAGATAACATAACTGTTACTAACTACGACATTAATTAAGTAAATAAAAAAAAAACAAGAACAGGGTGGCATGGTGGCTCAGTGGTTAGCACTGCTGCTAACAGTGCCAGGGACCAGTGTTCGATTCCACCCTCGGGCAACTGTCTATGTGGACTTTGCACATTCTACCCGTGTCTGCGTGGGTTTCCTCCCATAGTCCAAAGATGTGCAGGCTACATGGATTGGTCATGCTAAATTGCCCATAGTGTTCAGAGATGTGTAGCTTCATTGAGTTATAGGGGGATGGGTCAGGGTGGGATGCTCCAAGGGTCAGTGTGGACTTGTTGGGCCGAAGGGGCTGTTTCCACACTGTAAGGATTCTATCATTCTATGATAACTATAAATTCAAGATTCATTGAGAATTTGACAGCCAGTAGAATCATCAGCTGGAAACACAATATCCCAGAAAGAAACTATGAGTACCATCAGTACTTCAGCCTTTTGATCAGAGCTGAAAGCTGCAGAAGATCTCTTCCAGAGGGCAAAGTGGTTGGCAGAGAAAGAAGAGATTGACCTAGGCACAATTGGATGACAAACCTGCCAGGAGTTAAAAGTGAGTGGATAAGAGTGGCATAAATCAGACAAGCATGGCATACCATCACAGTATATGGCTTGTTGAGTAGCTACACACTGCGGAGAAAAAAAGACTAAGGAATGACTTGAGAAATATTTAAAGCTATGAAAAATGTATTGATCGAGAGGATATTATGCCACTTATGGGAAGAGTACAAACAGACTCCATCAGGAGGAGAATCATCAAGAAATCCAATAGAGAATTAAGTCAAAGCTTCTTTCGGCAGAGTTGCAAGCATGTGGAGCTTTCTAACATGAAATAAGTGAACCAGATAGTTTGGATATATGGAAGGTGAAGCTAGACAAGCATAATAAGAGCCAGTACAGGCACAATGGGCCAAATGGCTTTGACGCAAAATGATCAGTATATATTTCTAAAGAATTTTGACGGAATAGTGCTGGCACAATAATTCCCTTGGGTTGCTTTAGCAATCGCCACAATGCTTTACAACTGTGATTGGCTTCTAAGCAACAGGGGCGGCACAGTGGAGCAGTGGTTAGCATTGCTGCTTCAGAGCGCCAGGGACGCGGTTCGATTCCACTCTCGGGCAACTGTCAGTGTTGAGATTGCACATTCTCAGTGTCTGCGTGGGTTTCCTCCGGGTGCTCCAGTTTTCTCCCACAGTCCAAAAGATGTGCAAGTTAGGTGACCATGCTAAATTGCCCCTACTGTCCAGGGGTGTGCAGACTAGATAGATTAGGCATGGGAAATACAGGGATAAGGTAAAAAGGGTGGGTCTGGGTGGGAGTCCTTTGGAGGGTCAGTGTGGACTTGATGGGCTTAATGGCCTGTTTCCACACAGTAGGGATTTTATGATCAATGATGCAATGAACAGTTACATTTTGAAATGTTTCGAACGTTACTTAGATGACAATAGACTTTCATTACATCAACCCGCTGATAATGCTTACTCACTGGCATAACTATGACAACCGGTTAGACTTCTAAAAAATATTAAAATGTCAATCCCGCCTGATATTCATCCTGCCAAAACCACGTTCAAAGCATGTTTGCTCAAAATCCTAAATGATAAATATAGAGTGGATGAACAAACATGAATATTACTCAACCAATTCCTGTACATTCATATCAGAGCTTTAAAACAGAAACTCTACTTCAAAACAAATTAGTTTTGCGAGAGACAAAGAACTCAAAGACAGAGTTAACATCGAGTTCAAGAACAAAAGAAAAGTAATCTTGGACTCAAAACATCAACTCTGCTTCTCTTTCCACAGATGCTGCCAGACCTAAATTTCTCTAGTACTTAGTGTTTTTACTTCTGATCTGCAGCTTCTACAGTAACTTGTTTTTACATAAGACACTTAGCTGCAACACAATTTTGAATTGCGAGTTCCTTTAACACTAACCTGGATTAATTCTTGACTTGAACTGGTTTCTTTGTCAGATGCTCTCAAGCTTTCTATAGAGTGTGAAGTAGCATTGCACAAAGCCTCATATGGACATTCCTCATCTGGCTGGCTTTCAAATTCTGTAATAAGTTTTGTTAATTCCATTTGTTCCTCACCTTTAAGTTGGGGGAAGTAATGGAAACAGGATGAGTGGAATTGCAGTCAAATTCATCCAAATAATCTAAATTTCCACCAAAGATATGAAAGCTAAAGACTCATCCCAACCAAAGTAGTTATTACACATTCAGTAAATAACTGTTTACCTTTCATCACTTGCATCAAAAAGACAAAGTGATACAATCAATACTAGTCTTACTATTAATTCATCTTGATTATTGTTAGCTTTAACCATAGTAATATTTAAAGCCTTAATTAAAATTTTGAATGGAAGGTAATACAGATGAGAAAAATTCAAACACTTAATTCATGATCATGCATCAGCACCTAGCTATTATCATTGGCAAAAACAATGCACATCCCTTGTGTTCTAGATTAAAAGTAACATTGTATGTGTTTATCAGAATGTGTTTATCTTTTCATATTAGTTATCTTCTTAATTGAAGAACGCAATTTTTCACACAATGGGAAGCTTTTGGTTGTACTGGTTTTTCAAACATTCCGATCAAATCATCATTGAATTCCGTACAACATCTGTTGGATTTAGCTTCACAAGAGGGAATTTTTATATCTCCTTGTGCCTCTGCTAAAATAAAGTAAAACTTATCCAAACACAATTATGGTTTTTTTTCCCTTAATTTTACTAGCGCACATTATAGGTATTTTATAAATATTAAACACATATTTGCAATATTTACTCCCACCAGGCACCCCTAACACCCAATTTTCTTGATCAATCCTTTTGCATCACATGCCCTCTGGTTCCTTGTCCAACTGCTCAGTCTTTGCATACAAACTGAAACAGTAATCAACACGAGACTTAAGAGTTTGGGGGTATACACTGCAAACAAGCTCAACATCCGTTATACACCTACAATTTTCACACAGGCGACCAGATATTCTTCGTTAAATCTCTATTTCAGGTAGTTTTCTGGCACAGTGGTAGCATCTCTACCTCTGGGCCAGAAGTACTGGGTTCAAGTCACACTTCAGGACTCAATGACCAGAGAAGGTGCATTCCTAACATGACCAAAACAGGCTGAATGTCGGTCTGCAAATCCTTTCAAGACAGTCAAAGCAGGCAAGAGTGGGAGAGTTTCCTTGCTGCAGAAGGCAGCAGCAAGTCACTGCCGTACTTTGGCAAGAATAATCATAGACAAATCCAATGGATCACAAAATGTTAGCTTGCTCTCTCTCCATGGATGCTGCCTGACCTGCTGTGATCTCCAGCACTTGTTATTTCCAATAGAAGTTCGCACTTGCCAATGCCCGTTTGAGGAATGGTTTGTGAAAAGATAGGGAGAATTTCAAGCTCAAATACACTGAGATAAATTGTACTTTGACTCTGCCACTTCATCATCTATCTCAGCACAGAACTAACCCTAGTGTCATCCAGGTTCTTTGGCTTGAGCCTTACTTTTCAGTACAATATCAATAGCTACTGAAATAGTCAAAAGCATACAGCATTCTTTAAAAATAATTATACTATATTACTCGAATGATCAAAGTCATTCCAGTTCATTTTCTTTTCTTTCATTATAATTGCCTATTAAAGTCAAAACAGTACACAGATTTGCTTTGTAGAGTCATTCCTGTCACTGACAAAATAGTAACAGGGATGATAAGTGACCTTCAACTATGTTAAATTTATCTTTTTAACAAAGTAACATTAATTAAATGTAATTCCATCAAAGGTGAATGAAGCATTGGTTATAAAGTTTCAACAAATATATTTGTACTTACCCTTAGATTTTTGATTACACTGCTCAACAATATGAATTGGTGGTATTTTGGACAATACAACAGTACTTTCTGTGTTCTTCAGGATCTCTTTTCCTGCCATATGATCTGCACAGAGCATGACGACAGCAGAATTAAAGTAAACACTGACTAGACTTCAATTAAAATACTGTCAATCATAACATATCTAGATATTCCACTTAGAGATCAACTTCATTTTTTCTTGGTGATGGCATAGGGATAACATACTAGTAAGGATAGAACAGTGATTGCATGGTGGAAAACAAAGTATTGCATAAAAGGGTCTTTTTCAGATTGACATGTGACAACAGGGATCCTGCAGGGATCTATTTTGGGTCCTTAACTGTTTACAATTCATATCAATGATGAAATGAGGGGATTGAAGGCACAGTGACTAAATTTGTGGATTACAGATGACAAAGTTAATTTTTAATGACATAACCAAGATTCAGACCAATATAGTGAGCGGCCAAAAACGCGGCAGATGGAGTTGCTCATGCAGACAGGATGAAAGGAAAAAAAAGTATTACTTATTACAATTGCATATTTCTTAGTGCAGAGGAGTCTGTGTTCAAAATAACAAAAAGTTAGCATTCAGGTACAGCACATAATCAGGAAGACCAAATAGAAGAGATGTACGCTTCAATTATACAGGGCATTAACTAGCACATCTCAAATGGTGAGTGCAGTATTGGTTATCTTATTAAAGGAAGCATGTCAATGCACTGATGAAAGTTCAGACGAGGTTTACCAGATTGATAACGGGACAGTGGCTGTCTTAAAGACTAGAGAGCCTGAACTGGTTTTCAATGGAGGTCAGAGGAACAAGGGATTCTTTGCTTGAAGCTTAAAAGATGTTAAGTGATCTTGACAAGGTGCAGGTGGAAAGGACATTTACTCTGTGGGAGAGTCCAAAACTAAGGGACAGTGTTTTAAAATTAGGAGTCACCCTGTTATGACAGAGATAAGCAAAGTATTTTCTGAGGCTTGTGACTTTGTGTTCCAAATGCCGCATTCACATCTTTCCCTGATACCTTTGATTCCCTTGCTTAACAAAGATCTATTTCTGCCTTAAAATGTTCACAGACCTTGCCTGCTCTGCGTTCTGCATTAATGCAGAAGTAGATTTGTGTTAGGCAAGGAAATCAAAGGTAATGAGGGAATAGATGGGTACATGGAATTTGGGACACAAACAGGTCAGCCATGATTGTACTGAATACCAGAGAAGGTTTGAAGGGCAGAATGGCCAACCTTTGCTCCTAAGTTCCTTTAAAAGGTTTAAAAGTAGGTACAGCAAGTTTGTATTTAAAAATTGCTCAGTTATCATTCTACTGTGGCAGAAATATTTCAGAAATGCAGCACACCTGAAACAACTTGGGAGTTCTGAATCCTAAAAAAAAAGGATCATGTTAGATTATAAAACTATTATATAAAATGTCCAAATATGGTATATTCACTCTCAAACAGAAATAAATCTTGACAGCACATCAGTCTTGGAAAATCCAATCCCAACATCTTAACTTCCACAATACTGGATGTTGCCAATAATGCTAAAGAGCTACCAAAAGATTTACTTGATGTTGCACTTGATGTCAGATTTTCTGCTCACCAATTCTGCATGTAAAATGAAGTCATTCTTTGCTTCCCTCAACATCTAAAACAGTTATCTACGTTGTTTCATGCAAAGTAGCAGTGACCACGGATGCTGGTTCATAGAAAGCAGCTCAGCAATAATCCACATGTTGTTCTAATAGAATCAGAAGGGAAGTTGTAACTGACTACACTATGTGCTGTTTTCTCTCTCAATCTCATAAATCTATTTAAAGACTGAAAGAACTGTAGATGCTATAAATCAGAAACAGAAACAAATTGCTGGAAAAGCTCAGCAGATCTGGCAGCATCTGTGAAGAGAAACTAGAGTTAATGTTTTGGGTCTGGTGACCCTTACTCAGAACGGTTCAGGAAGGGTCATCGAACCCGAAACGTTAACTCTGGTTTCTCTTCACAGATGCTGCCAGGCCTGCTGAGCTTTTCCAGCAATTTGTTTTTGTTTCTCATATTCTACTTGCTTACTGTTGCAGAATTGGAATGGAGTTTGTCAACTGGTGCTTCTCAGAAACAGGCAGCACTGACCTTGCAAACTTCCTTGGGTGACAGGTGCTGCCTTCAGTTCTCAAAACACCCCAATTTTTGGTGCAGGATTGCTGCCAACTTCAGTCTTTACATTGGCAGCAAACCTACACTGTGAAAAAACCATACCACAAAGACATACAAGGACAGATTACCTAAAGTGTGGTGAAAGAGGTCAAACACGACATCTTAAAATAGTCAGAAGGGTTTAGGGAGAAAATTCCAGAGCTTCATGCCTAAGCAATTAAGCATACAGCCACCAATGGTGCAGTAATTAAAAGCCAGAGGAAGCACACAAACTTTCATACAGGTAACCTTTGTTCCTTGTAAAATCACTTGAATAGAAATGAACTTCAATGTTTATGTCAGAGCTATAAAGTGTATTTTTCATACTATGAGGAGACACTATAGTAGTAAGCTTGTAGACTAGTTAACAGGAATGTACCCTAATTTGTCATGTTAAAAATAGCCAAAAGTAATTTTTTTTTTTTTTTTTTTGAGGTCAGTCTTGCCACTAATGGGCTGAATTGATTTGGAGCTTTCTCCTAAAGACAATAAAAAAAAGTTGAGAGCAAGATAGCCTTTACCTAATCTCTGCCACCACCCAGCACCAAACAGGATGGCCAGCAGATGCTAAAATAAAGATTATCTGCTGCCACGCAACTCACATCCCTCAGTTAGCTCTCCTCCAAGGAAAAAGTGAATTTCTTGAGAAGATGAAGTCAAGAAGGTTTTTCTTCAATCGAAGGCAAAATGTTTAAGATGTTATCAGGAACAAAAGGTTTTATACCTTGAATAAGAGTTGCTATCTCTTTGCTTTTCTGAGCTGGATGCTCCCGTACAATTTCCAGTGCAGACTTTCCTTGGATATCTTTAATATTAACATCAATTTCTGTCAAGAAAAGGGCAGTGTTGACATACATTAATCTGGCCAGGAATGCTTAATATCTTAATTATAAGTCAGCGCCAGCTGTCTATATAGACATGCATTAAAATAAGTGTCAACAACTAGAAAGTATAATTGTCATTGTGCAGGGGGAACTGCCTTATTAGTAGTGGTGGGGGGGAAATATGCAGACAACTGTTTACTGAGTCTCATATTTGTAAATTATGAACCATTCTTTTCTTTTGCCTGTCAAAAAACCTAGCAACATGCTAATTACAAAGCGAGGTAGATCTTTGCAGAAAAAGATATTTTTGAAATAGTTACAAACTGCAGGAAGTAGGTTATCCCTCCAAGCTGGGAAATGAGTAACATTAGCCAACAGCTCACCACAAATGAAACTTAGCAATTGTGGTGTGTAGAAGTTAAACACAGCATTGCAGCGTTAGACCATAACATTTTGAAGCAACTCAACACTGTATAAGCAAGAAGTCTGTAGAAACACAAGATAGTTTTGAAATATTCTTTGGAAATTGCTGAGAAAATGTAAATAAAGTGTTTTCTAAAATTCAACAGCCGTCAGAAAGCGAATATTAACAGTAGATCAATGATAATTGATATTTAGCAGTAATACTTGCAAAGATTCAGACTAATGTGGTAAATTTCATAGCAAAACGTGAAAACAAAGTAAGGTGCAAAAGGGCTACCATACAGCAGTGAGAATATAAAAGAAGGTAAAGATCGAGACAGAAAACTACAAGTACTCCGGAAAAGACAGGCCAAAGTCAATGTAGCTCTCAAAATAAAGATAAAGATAATCATTATACTCCATACGTACGGTTATTCAAAAGCAAAAATGTAGCATCCTATCTTCTGATTGCTATACTTATGTTGCTAACTGCGTAGGCACTGAGTCACATACGAATGATGATTAAAGTAAATGCTTAAAACATATGTGTAGTCATATCTGGTTTAACAGACTTGAAAATGACTGTTGTGACATGATGCATAGTATTTTGGCTAACAATACCATCCAAACTGTGACTTCAACTGGGATCATAAGGGTGCCTCTCTTGAGGGGAGGGAGTTAAGGCAGAGATAAAGTAGTGTGGTAGGGCAGTCGCTGGGTTGTGTAGGCACCATTATTGCCAAGGGACTTGCTTGTGTTTGTTTGTGCCTGTGCAGTCAGACAGTTTAAACTTCAATTGGACTAACCAAGCTACAAACTGGCAGGTTGAAGAATTATCTAATTTTCATTGTGTGTGGAAGAAAGCAACATTAGTCTGATGAAGAACAAGAACCAAAGATAAGATTTCTGGCTCACATGCTTGCAGATAGTGTATGTCACATTTTAAGTGAGAAACTGGCCACCATGTGGATAATTACAAAATATATAATGGCAGAAAGAAACTTATTAAGAATATATAGCAAAGAAAAATTAACAGATAGCTAGAATGACTTGCTATTGGCTTACTGCAGATACTACAAAACATTTCTGTACAAAGCTGAAATATTGCAAGAAATTGGTTGAAGGTGGAACATGAAATTTATTTAAAGACTAGATAGAGTCCTGAATGATTAGAAAGCACAGCTGACCCAGAGGAAGATGGAAATAAAAAAGGGCCAATATTTCTTTTCCTCAAACTATATTGTACTCATCTGACTATCAAGTAATTATGGTATGCAAAAAAAAAAAGCAAAATAAAAGGAGATAAACAATAAATTTCATAATGTATTTGTTTAAAATCACTGACGTGAACGTCTAACATTATTTAGGTGCAAGCTAAACATTAGACACAATAGACGAGAAAATTTGTTTGATACCTTGGTTTTAAGCAACCAGACATCCAATATCTTACCAGATGCTAGGAGTATCTGGACCACATCAGTCTTCCCAAACAAAGCAGCCTCATGAAGTGCACTGCCTTTCTCTGTCTAGAGATAGGGAGGAGAAAAGACCAAGAAATGCAACTTAGATACTAATCACTACTCTCAACCAACAGTTCTAATAAAAAGTTGTCAAATTTTGCAGAAAATTTGGAAGCTCAGGATGAGCCTTCATTTATAATTACTGGTTCTGTTCCTCTTCAGGGTCCACTCTAGACGCAATGATTGTGGACAAATGTCATTGGGTACTAGTCAGAAATATTTCAGGTACATTCTCAATGTGCTCAAGTGATCATTCTTCACACGGGAACAAAAGTGGTCAGGATATTCCGGACAGATGTCTAACACAACCCAATTCAATCTAATCCTCACCCAACATCTGCACAAATACCAATTATTTAACAGATTTTCCTTCAAAAGCTATTACAAATTTTATCTCCCTAGCAATTACAGATGACATTCTGCAAACCTATAGAATGCCTCAATTGACATCTGAATAGAAATTACAACTAGGATCATGCTGGATTGTATTACTGAGAACCATTTCCAATACCCTTTGGGTCATGGACAATACCAGATGTCTGACTCTCCCCTTAAAAAAAGGCATAATCAGAGTCTTTGGTGTACCATATGTACTATATACATACTGTATGTATTGTAATTTTTAAGTACTACTCCAGGTATGGGATGCTTATTAAAACTGTATATGCTTGACCTCACTAATTTTGAGTTGTGTAATCATAGCAAACAATCATCTTCAAAGAGAATATCAAAACTTGTAAAATATCCAACTGAGCTCCACTTTAGACATTATGACATATTTGGGCATTGGCCTCTTGTTTCGTGCATCTTCACAACTTCTCTAATGCGCAATACAGTGCTAGTTCAGTGTTTAGCCCTCTTTGATATTTTATTTGTTAATGCAGTAAAATTTAGTTAAAATTACTCTCCTACTTTTTGCTCCATAGCATTTCCTAAAGTTCCTGATGAAAATCATCCAGTTTCAAACTTCATTTTTTTCCACCTGATCCTGACTTCTCCACAGACAAGTTTTATATTGACATTTAGAATTCTTCTGATTATATATTTAATGCATTGACATTGGTTCATGTGTTTCCTAACTATGCTCCTAAGCACTTCTGGTTTCCTTCTGCCCTCTATAGGATCTCTGTCAACTCTTCTGCATTACTTCTGTTCTGAAGTGTCCTCACAGCATCTGTCTCTCCCAACTTCAGACATTTTACCATGTTTCTCCTACTCTCCCAAGCTGGCCCCACAACCCTCTCCTTGCTTTCCCAAAACCTATCTTTTGGTTTCCTTCAATGTTGCCTACCAATGTCGTCTTGCCTTCTCCCATCCATTTTGTTCCTGTACACCCACCACGTCTACCAGTTTTGAAGGCCTTTCCAGTCTTCATTGCCATTCATCTGGATCCTGTTCCCCCAACCAGCTCCCTTGTTTTAATAAAGAAACAGCCTACCCCATCATTGCTGTTTTACTACCTTTCTTAAAATGCAAAATGGTCTCAGTCAAAAAACAGAATTAACATTTGGATTCATCAAATAGTCAGGTTTCAATTTTGTCCATCATCTCCACATTCCTTGAGTTTGGTTTTCTCCTTAAACTAAATTAACTTTATTTGGTCTCTCTCCACGATCTTTTGTGTACTAACCAATCCAATCTTAGCTCCTAAATTTTTCTTCCACCCACAGCATTAAATACCTAACTTACAGCCATCACATTCTCCTTAAAAACATCAAAGGCTGACTCCACTCACCTTCATGTCTTCTGCCTTTGTTCTCAACACCTTTTTCCCGCTCCTCCGAAAGAAACACAACATTCAGCGATGTCATATTTAAAACTCAACTCCTAAAGCACAACTTCTTTCGCATACCAGACTTCACACTAATATCTACTACTTCACCAGAGGCAGTACAATCAGCTAGAAAGCTAAGATATCGTAAGTCAGCAAAACACTATATTAGCACTACATTGTGCATTACAGAAGTTTGAAGATGCACAAAACAAGAGGAGAGGGGGTCCATACCCAATTATGATGGCATATTACCTGATAAAGCCATGCAGAAAGCATCTGGAGATACTACCTAGGTGTTTATAGTTACCAGACTATTTTCACAACATTCCTTGATGATCAAATAAGGAAACAAAAATCGGCAAGATATGCATCTTCTCATCACCATAAATGAGTCCTGTTAGTGTGTGTTGCGGCCATCAAAAAAGCACGAGTAACTTTAACTTTCAACTGCACCCAAACTGACATGCATTTCCATCTCAGGTTAACAAGTTATTGATTTCTGCAAGGTACCACAATGCAAAGAAAAAAATGACTACTGGCATTAGATACACCAAAATATAAAACCTCTAGCCATTACCTGATAGTTGATGTCCATCCCTGCTTCCAAAAGGACTTCTACTACTGCTTTTTGCCCATTTCTTGCTGCCAAGTGAAGGGGCGTGTGTTTCTTGGTGTTACAGCTCAACAGGTTTGGGTGGGCATTTAACAGCATTTTCACCACCTCCAGCCTCCCATATAATGCGGCCAAGTCCAACGGAGTTTCAAATTTGTTGTTTCTCATTGTAGGATCTGTGAGCTCCTCAAGAAGGACTTTTACAACATCTGAGTGACCATACTGTGCTGCACAGTGCAAGGCCGTCTCATTGTCATTGTTCTGTTACAAAAGGGATGACAAAGTGCACAAAAAAAGGATTAAAAAGCTCAAAAGATTAAGTGGATTAAGACAATCGTATGTCTTGTCCCTACCGCTTGGTTATATCTCAGAATTAGTTTATGACTATTTGTGGCAAATTATTCTATTTAAATAATTATAATCTATAGCCAAAAGATGTTAAAGCTATACCAGTTATTTGTGCTTAGTTATAAAATTATGACTATAATAAGGGTATTGTATCAGATTCTGCTCATTAATAGAATCAACTCTGCATTGCAATGGTTATCTGGATTCCAATTTCTTCAAAAAAAAAACACGACTTTCAGTTAGTCAAGTTTGAATTATGAACAATTTGAGATCTGCAATGGGGAAAGCACAAGCACATAAGTGGACTGCTTACAAGTCTTCAAGATTTTAATATTTGAAAGTGATAAAAATTGTACTCCTTCAAACAAATTAAAAGCCAAAAATGAATTTCTATTCAGGTTTAGCAGCAAGCTCCAGAGCAGGTGCCAACATTGTGTCTATGGAAATTTTACAGAAGCAAAGAAACCAAAGTGAAATTAAAACACACTGTACTTGCACAAACAAACTGACCGTCATGACAAAATTATAAAATACGCCAGCCACATCAAGCTTTTTCAAGGAGTCAAGATTTATAAATTAAGTTGCATGAGAAGTTAGTGAAAGAAGTATGGTTGCATAAAAAAATGAAATTCTAATTTCCACATTCAAAAACAGAGTGACTTAAAATTTACAGTTGAAAAATTGAACCAAGTGTTAAAAGGGAATATCAAATCAGGTTCGAGCGTAGGATTTAAATGAATTAGTAAAATTAACATTTCCATAATCCAAAACGTTTTACTTTGAGTTGTTTCCTTCCATATGCGAAGGATTAGACCAAAATTGTAGTGGCTCAGGATTACGACAATTTTAATCTTGATAAAAAGCAGCATTGAGGTTATTTAGATTTGTGTTGTCTGGTCAAGCTATCTTGACCACAAACAACTCAAATTGTAATCATATATAGTCTGGGCATTTGAAGATACAGCCTTCAACACTGAACTGATTAAAATGGCAAAAAAATCTTAGCAGGTTGTAAGATACAGAGACCAGAGTTTGGTTTGTGTGCCTGTGCGCCTGTCTGTACGTGTGCGCCTGTGTGTTTGCTTGTGTGCATGTACATGCACTTGTGCATGTGTGCCTGCATGTTAGTAAGGACATGAAGGTATTTGAAAGCAAGGATGGGAATTTGAGATTTGAAGAGCTAGCCAGCATAGGTCAAAAAGCAGAAATTTGATAGCTGAAAGAGATGTGATGAAAATTAGGAACCGGCCAACAAGGTTTTGGATAAGCTCAAGGACAACATCACTTTTTGTGGTATCTGAGATGCACCAAGTATTGTTTCAAGGCTGTTTAAGTGACAAATTAGTTATCCAACATACAAAGTTCAATTTGCATCTTTAAATAAGTTATTTTCAAAACAATGGCATCAATGCTTTACATGAAAACTGAGCTGAAATTATTTAGTTCATGAATAAGGCATGAAATGAACTTTAAAACAGCCATACACATTAAAGGAAAGTATAGTCATATAAATAAACAAATGTCAATAAAAAAATTATGCACACAAACACAAACATTTAACACTAACACAAAAAGAACAGAACATTTAGCATAAAATTACATTATCAATGCATATTAAAACAAAAATACAACACTGTAATAAATTACAATGCATAATAAATGAATAAGAATCAATGAATTAAATCAGTAATTTAAGTCATTTGTTATCATTTTCTTTCATAAATCTTTTAACTATTAAGGTCAATAAAATTCTGATATGAAATGCACTAATCAATCTCCAACTTAACCATGCATTGCTTTGCTCAATCCAAGAATCCTGGCCGAGCTAAGAAAGCACTTTAAACATTTAAAGCAAATAATTGTTATATTGAAGTTATGCCATCATAAAATGCTCCAAGGTGCTCCATAAGAGGGTTATAAAGCAAACACCAAATCACATAAGGTGATCTTGAGACTGATTGCACAAAATTTAGTCGAGGAATTAGGTCCTACACAGCAGTTTAAATGAGGACAAAAAGTTAGAGATGGAGAGGTTTAGAAATGGAATTCCAGTTCGAGTGCTGAGGCAGCTCACTGTAGGGGCACCAATGTTGGAACAATTAAAAATCAGGAATTTTCAAGGAGCCAAAATCAGATGAGAGTTAATATCAAGGAGAGTAGGGTTGTAGGTAGTAGTACAAGGGCAGAAAAAGGAGGAACTTGAAAGTGAAGATGGGAATTTTAAAATCAAGGTGCTGTTTTACAAAGAGCAAATGGTGATCAGTAAGTACAGAGACAAAGGGAAATGCGGCTTAGCGCAAAAGAACATGGGCAGGATTCTGGATGTCATCAAGTTTAAATGTTGTCTAGGGTGGCATGGTGGCTCAGTGGTTAGCACTGCTGCCTCACAGCGCCAGGGACCCAGGTTCTTTTCCACCCTCGGGCGACTGTCTGTGTGGAGTTTGCACATTCTCCCACAGTCTGCGTGTGTTTCCTCCGGGTGCTCCGCTTTCCTCCCACAGTCCAAAGATGTGCAAGCTAGATGGATTGGCCATGCTAAATTGCCCGTAGTGTTCAGGGATGTGTAGATTAGGTGGGTTATAGGGGGATGGCTCTGGGTGGGATGCTCCAAGGATCGGTGTGGACTTGTTGGGCCAAACGGCCGGTTTCCTCACTGAAGGGATTCTATGAAGTTCAGACAGTGTAGCATATGGAAGGTCAGGCAAGACGTGGCTGGAATAGTCAAGGCTGGAGCTAGTGAAGACATAGATGAGGGTTTCAGCAGCAATGAACTGAAGCTGGGAACAAGCCAGGTTATGTTAGAGAGATGGACATAGGCAGCTTTGGTGATGGTGTGGACAGATAGCACGAAGATTATCTCAGGATCACATACGACTTCAAAAATGTGAGCACTCTGACTCGGCCTCCGCCAAGAAGAGGGATTGAGTTGGTAGGTAGGGAACAGAGTTTGTGGCCTGGTCCAAAGTCAATGGTTTCAGGTCTTCCAAACTTTTGGTTGGGGGGGGGCGGGTAGGAAAAAGAAATGTTCATCTCATACCAGGTGTTGGAGAAGCAAGCTGATAGTTACTTTACTGCTGTTAAACTAGGACAGACAATAGTGAAATAGAGCTGGCTATCCCTAGCTTACATGTGGAAGTTAAACTTGTGTTTTCTGATGGTCTTGCCAAGATGTAACACATAGGGTAGGTAACAGTGTGGAAGCCAGAACTGAAGCTATGGCAATGATTAGACTACGAAGAATTGAACCAGGTAATTGATCCAGAATACATGTAAAAGTAATGTACATCAGTTATGTAATATTAGCATACAAACTGGGAGTCAAAGTCAATTTTTCAAATGTATTGACATGAATTCAGGTTTTATGTATTCTACTGTGGCAGTAATCAGTATAATTTGTTTTCTGGTCTCAGCCATGCAAGACTGCATGTCATTTTCTATATCATAACACTAGGTAACTAAATCCAGAATGTGCATTTCATGAAAGGCAAGTTCATTCTTTGTCAGTTAATACATTAGAAGCTGCTTTGTAATTTAGTTTGAGTCATTGTGAATGTGTACTACTTATTGCTGAGTTTGTGTGATATCAGGCGAAAATCATGGAGCAGAAAACTTTAAAATGATTTTAAAACTTTCTGGAATATTTGTGGAATATAATGAATGATTTGGACTTCATTACATATTCTACTTAAACAGACATTTAATTGTTTTATTTCAGGCTTTGTTAATGTTAGCTTTTGTGGGCAAGCCCTTTCATGCAAAAGGCAGTTAAAGTTCACTTCATGCAACTTTCCTCTTTCTATGTTCAAATAATCGTAATCTGAAACTCTCCCAGTGGGCATGAAATACTAAATAAATGCAGCCACAGTCGCCTCAGGATTGCATTGTAAAAACAATGAACCCACTTATGAGCATTTAGTCATCAAACTATATACTCAAGTTAAAACACAGCTTTTCTAGATTTATCTTTAACCACTTATAGGGAAAAAAAATCCTTCAGACTGTTAAAGTCAGGAGCAGTGCCCCATGTCAATAAGTGAAAATCTGTAATTGTTCAAAAAGGACATCCTTGGCCAGAGGTTTTATAACCAAGTACATGTCCTAAAAACATAGCTTTCCAAAACATATCTTGTACGTAAAGGTTTTCTGTACATTTTTATTGCGAATTCAGCTATTCCAACTATTAGGTAGACTATTGACCTTTGATCCTAACCACTCTCACATAACCTTGCCCTAGTATTGCCCTGGAGATTGTTAATTGAACATTGTTCCAGCAGCCAGCATTTGTCCTTCCCTCAAAGCCACCATCAAAAGTACTTGGTTCAAAGCCCACGTTAGCATACATGCTTCTTCAATTACCATGCTGCAACGAATTCCATTGTCCATGTTTGACATGTTTGTTAGAGTTCTTTGAAGATATAATAAGTATAAAATAAATAGATAAAATAAGTAGAATGGATAAAGGAAACCAGTACATACAGTGCATTTAGTTCCCAAATGGCATTGGTAAGGTATAAAAGGTTATTGCACAAGATTAAAGATGACATGATCGGGAGTGACAAATTAGCATGGTAAGAAGTTTAACTTATAAAAACACTTGGAATGAACTATCATTTTTTTAAGTTGGCAAACTGTAACAAATGGAATGTCACAGGGATCAGTATTGGGTCTCAACAATTTACAATCTATGTTAAATGATTAACTAGTCATATGATTTGAATGACGTGATCATCTGTACATTAGTCAAACTTGCTGACGGTAAGTCAAGAGAAGATGAAAAGCTAGAGGTCTCAATATTAAAACTCATTCTGCCACCACATCATTCCCCACACCTCTCGGCCTTGTCTTGTTTGTCATTTTCTCTTGACGAGTGCTGCCAAACCTGCTGAGTTTTCCCAGCAGTTTCTGTTTTGCCG